CCGACAAACATCCACAGAAGAAAAAGTAGAACGGTTACTAAAGAATAAGTTGGATTTGGACGTCAATGAAAATCAATCGATATCTACGGTGGTACCCAGGACCCCTCCATCGGCTTCAGCTGTTGTAGAGACTGAGCCGAGGTTGTCTTCAGCTCCTGTCAGAGCTCTCAGGCGTTACAGGTATTGATAGCTAATAAATAATCAATATATAAATATCAGGATTCCTAGGAAGGATGTATTCTGGTCTAGCATGGGTACAAGCAAGTCCATATTAGCCATTCAGAGGTTGAGAAAAAAACTTGATTGAGTTGGCATTGCAGTGTATTGTGGGACTGTTTAGGGTAAACATTTCTCAGATGGCGTCTATTTTGTCCCCTAAACAGTCCCACAATGCAATGCACTGTCAACTTGACCCAGTTCTCCCCTCAACCATGGTGGGGGTAATATGGTGGTGCTGTAGAAGATTGTCATCTTCTATAGAGGGTTTTAACGGCGGCCATGTTTTTTTTGGTAGAGTTTTACCAGACCCACCAAGTACTCAGAGAACGTCTGAAGATTCGCCTCAACCGTCCAGCCAATCACCTGTCACTCAGGTATCCCATGGTTACAGGCCTGGTACAGCTGCCGCTGCTCTACAGAAGCGAAGGCTCAAACCAAACTAGTAATAGGTTTGATTGGTAGGTTAGCAAACAGTATCCCCAGGAGGGAGGGGTCAGGTACTTTTAATACAAACAAGATTGTCCGGTGTATAAAAAACCGGTGTGAAATGTGCAGTACTGTGCAGTGCCCATTCTTTCCAATACACTGTGCTTTCACATAGTAGTTATGTTATTGGACAACAAGCCTAGCAAATTTAACGAGTCATATACCCGGCTACCGGGGAAAGAAGGGGCATAAAATCCCGTTGTGTGTCCGGGATTTGTAAGTTTCATTAATATAACTATAACGAGCGTTTATTTCTAAATCAGGTACTACCTTACGGGATATAAAGTCGGGTCGTGAAAAACCCGGTGTTTGCTCGGTGCTTCCAATATTATCAACTTGGGGCAACGTCATGCAAAATGCCCCTACTTTGCACGAGGGGGAAGGGGAGGGGTTCATTTTGTGTTGGACACGATATAAGATATTCTTAATGTTTGATAAAACTAACTTGTGAAAATGTGTTATTGTTAAGAATCATTAAACCCAACGACAAGCTCTCGCCAGTGTTTCTCTTTAATATACAGCTGCTTCTAATTTCTTTGTTTTGCTTTTTACATTGAATCATCATACACCGTATCAAAATATGGCGACCAATTTGAATAACTATTGTTCTGCACCGACCTGCCACTGACTAGACTGTCATGCATGTGAAAACGCTTTTATGCTTCCATGTAAACAC